CCACGAGCGGCTCAGACGCGACGCGTGTCCCATGGAGCCCGCTGCAGCTATAAGCACTGCGCACTTGAAGGCGGCTGCACTGGATCTACTTTTCGACAATCATTTCCTGAGGCCGGAGGATTCATCTCAGGCTTGGTACGCCCGGCTTCTGCTGCAGTCATACTGGTCATCGGCTGGCGCCGTAGACATAGTGCGGGACGTGCAGGCGCTGTTCCCAGCTGACGTGCTTCTGCTTTTCAAGGCGCATTGTGCAGCCCGATACCCTACGATTCTTCCTTATTTCTAGATGGGGGTGCAAATATTTGAGGGCCTGGGCACGAGACCGGCGACGTCAGAACAACAGAATTTTTTCCCGGTCTGGAAGTCAAATGCAGTAACGTCTGAGTTATGTGAAGGTCATCAATTGCTTGGTGGTTTCCGCTCGCTCCGGTCCCAATTCCGGAAAGAAGCACAGCAGCAATCCCAAACGAAACCTGACTTGCTTCTTGGCGTGAGGGTTGACACTGCTCCCCTTGGGGTGTCTGGAGCCGCTGGATTTCATCTATCGGCGAAAGAAAGGGATACAAAGGCCTCTCATGATTCGAGTGGCTGCTCGAGCAAGGAGCGCATTCGCAAGCGAACTTTGAAAAGGGCAATACGCAGAGCTCTGACTGTGGGCACAGCGACCTACAGAGGACATGCCTTAAGTGGCGAGAGGCACCTGAATTTTTCTGCAACATCGGGGCGACGCAAGTCTTCGGAGGCCCAGGGTGAACGTATCGGAGTCCTTTCCTGGAATTGCGGGGGCCTCACTCAGTTGTTGTTCGAGGAGGTGAAAGAATATTTGCGGATCCACAAGGAGGTGCACATAGTAGTTCTGCAAGAAACACAGAGATCCTTCGAACGGGAGTGGCAAGAGGATGGATGGACGTTTGTCAGCAGCCCCTCGGAGAAGCCAAAGTCAGGAGGCTTGCTTTTGGGTTTTCGTAGAGATTTCTGCGACTGCTCCACATTGCGGTGGCAGTCGTTGATTCCGGGTCGTCTTGTTCAGGCGAGGTGTTTCGCGCAGGGTCAGCATTTGGATGTGCTAGCGGTGTATCAACATGCTCTTCCTTTTCGAGAAGATGATCTTTTGCAGGCTCTTAAACGAAGACAGACTTTGTGGAACAAGGTGGATGCTTTCCTCAAAGCCCAGCCCGTGCGGTCCTCTGTGATTCTAGCAGGAGACCTGAGCTCTGGTCTGACAGCATGCTCCCCCTTCTCCGGAGGCGCGGTTTTGCCGCATCACTCCTCAGCGAAGGTTGCAGATGAGCGAAAGCGGCTCACAGAGATGCTGGCGGGTCATCGCTTGTGCGCTCTGAACACATGGTCCAGAAAGAAGGAGACGTATTTTCACCCGATGGGGAAGTCTCAGATTGATTTCATCATGGTGCGTCAATCGCTGGCAGATTCGACAGCAAAGCGCTGCAGTCCTTATGTGGCTCCGTTGGCGGGGTGGCGCTCCTCTGGGCACTTGATGCTCTTTGCGGCAGTTCCGCTGCGATGGAGACCATGGCGGATCTCCAAAGTGTCAAACAAGGTGCGATCTGCTGTGCTTAACGGGGACCCGCTTCTTGCTTGCATCAAGAGGGATGTTGCGCGTGGGGCTCGACCTTCGCCTGCTCCTCGGTCTAAGCCGGGTGTCAAGGGTTTGACAGGTGAGATTGTGCGGTTCTGGGATGCACGAAAGCAGCTGGCCGCGCAAAGAGTCCGCTCAATGAAAGATGCTTTCCAACGCCTTCGTTTGCTTGCAGCGCTTCGAAAGCAGCACAGGGAACTTCGCTCCTTGGCGAGAGCGAGGAAACGCGAACAGCTCCTGCGCATCTTAGAGCTTGCAGAGGAAGCCGCCTCCAAGGGAGACAGCAAGGGGTTATATCAGTGTGTTCGCTGGTTGGCTCCAAGGAGGATGGGACGATCCATCAGACTTCGGGATGGGGAGGGCAATGTTATGCATCCTCATGCCGAGTGCCAACTTCTTGCCGACTATGCTGCGAAGCTCTTTACGGCCCAGTCTTCTGAACATGTGATTATGCCGCCGCTGCTTCCCCTGCCCGCGGAGATGTTTCAGCCGCAGGCGTGGCAAGCTGCACTAGGAAGGCTTCGTTCTGGTAAAGCTGTGCCTAATGGGGAACCGTCTGTTGTGGAGTGGAAGGACTCCCCCGCTTCGGCACCTGAGCGTCTCAGTGACGTAGCTGTCAAGGCGTTGTGCACGGAGTCCCCGCGGGTGCCATCAGACTGGACATGGGTGCAGTTAGCATGGTTGGCCAAGGCGGGGAAAACTCCCAACTGTCCCGAGAACTTGCGAAGCATCGGTCTCATGCCGGCAGACGCGAAGGCCTTTCTCCTCATACTGCGTGATGCTGCTGCTCCGTGCGTTAGCTCTGCGCTTTGGTCTACACCTCAGTATGCTTATCGCTCTGGTACCTCGACTTCGGATGCTCTCCTTCGGGCCACTCTGCATTGTCGCTGCGTCCGTGATCTTCTTAAGCTTCATCAAAGAGATCATACGGCAAAGATTTTAGGTGATGCGGGTGTGCCTCTTGTTGGGGGCCTCATGGTAAGCTTTGATCTGAGTAAGGCTTTCGATGCTGTCGCTCATTCGGAGATATGGGCATCACTGCTCGAGGCCGGGGTCGACCATGCCATTGCAGCAGTTCTGGTTCGGGTACATGCGCAAACTCGTTGCCGCATTGTTCATGGCGGTGAGTCCAGGGAGGTGGGCATGACGCGGGGGTTGCGCCAGGGATGTCCAGTTGCTCCTATCATCTTTGCGGCCTGGACAGCGCGCTTCTTCAGGTTGCTTCGGGAGCGCTCGGAGGTTGCAGCGAACGGAGGCCAGACAGAGCAGTACAGCATGTTTGCGGATGATCTTCATGCCTGTTGGACTTTGACGGATGCTGCAGGTTTTCGCAGAGCCCTACGGCAAGTTCATTTGATCATAGAGCTGCTCTGCTCGCTAGGCATGGCAGTGAACTTTCGGAAGAGTCTTGCAGTCCTTCGTCTTCGTGGTCATGGTGTTACCAAAGCCTGCAGGTCGGTGCTGGTTTGGCGTGATGGTGTTCAACATTTGCGTCTTCGGTCGGGGACTTGTGATATCCTTATTCCAACAGCCAACAGCATGCCGTATCTGGGGGCCACGTTGTCCTACGACGATTTTTGAGCTTCAAACATGTCGCACCCGCGCCCAGGCTGCTCAGTTGCGCTTCCAGGAGCTTGGTCGGGTTTTGCGCTCGAGGAGTGCCCTCACGACTGGCCAAAGACTCAGGTTGCACCAGGCCACGGTATGGTCCTCTCTCGCTTATGCTTTGCCCTATGTTGGTATCACCGCAGAGGTGCTGCGCAGTGTTGTCTCCACGCTTGCAGGGCATCTGCGGAAGATCCTGCGGATCTACGAGGAGGGCGTCAGCAACCAACAGGTGATGCAGCGTGCGAGTCTTGATCCGGGTGACATCTTTATGACTCAGCTTCGCAAAAAGGTGGCCTCCATCAGCAGCGATGCTCTGCGGTGTCCGATACTGAAGGCTCCGGAACTCATGCGATCCAAGGAGCTTGAAGGTGCTCTCTCGGAGGTTCTTGCTCAGCAGCACATCTCTTCATCGGTGCCAGCGGGACCGTCACTGGTTCCCCTTCTTGAGTCTGCACAGCTTGCATGTCCAGAGTGTGGTGTATACTATGCTACGAAGGAGGGTCTTCAGATGCACATTCAACATCGCCATCCGCACTTGAATGCAGGCTTGTTTCTCCTTTCGGCGGGACGTGCACTCTCTTTGCGAACATTACCACAGGTACGTGTCTTCGTATCAAAGAGTTCCTAGCGGCGGGCTTGTCTGAGAGCGCTATGTTGCAGCGCCTGGAGGTCGAGGAGTCTGCGTCGCCGCCGGTGCCGCCTGCTGGCGCTCAGGGTGGAGCGGAACTGCACGCGCAAATCGAGGCTGCTCTGAGCCTGTCCAATCAGCAGTTGGTAGCTGGTGGTGCGAGGCTGCTTGTCCTGGCTAGACACTGTGCGCTTTGTCAGCAAATCATCAAGGAGGCGGGCAAGGTCAAGAATCACTGGAGCTCGACGCATGTCACTGAGTACCGCAAGGTCAAAACAGTGGTTGAGTCCGAGGCCAAGAGCCTGGTTTCGGTTTTCTCGAGGCCATGCCGCTTTTGTGGCAGTCAAGCCAGAAGCGAGCGGGATCACTCCGGCAAGTGTGCTTCGCTCTTTCAACTCCTAGCTGTCAGGCATCTGCGCTCTTGTGGTGCATCGACTCCGGCTCCCTCTTGTGGTCTGTCACTCAAACAAAGCTCGAGCACTCCTCAGTACCAGCTCTTCAGCAAGGTTGATACCCCGCTAGGCCGGGCCTTTGGTCTACGAAAAGGTACCGCATCGGCATCACCCACAGCAGAGGCTCGGACCTCCACTGGATCTACCGCTGCGGTGTCTGCTGCTGCGCCGCTCCCTTCAGGTTTGCAATTTGGCGAGGCTCCGAGGCTGGCTGGTCCTTGGCTTACCACCTTGCAGCTTCGAAATAATCAAAATGTCTGCTTCATGAACGCCACGTTCTTTGCGCTTCTTCACTCGGCTCAAGGTGCGGATTGGCATGGTCGTGCTCCTCGTGGCTTGTACGAGGTTGCGATGCAGGCGGTTCACTCCGGCACCCCGCTTCTGCTTACCACGCAGCTGCTCATTCGCTCTTTGTTGCCAGTTTGGGTCTTTGATGGTAGGCAACATGATGCGGCGGAGTTCACGCTTGCTCTTTTTGGAGGTCTGGGCCTTACATTTGGCCTCTGGGAGTCTCGCCGTCTCGAGGGAGATCAGGTTCTTGTGGATGAGCAAGGTTTGCAACCGCTGGTGATTGCGCTCCGTGGGCCCGCGCCTACGCTTGAAAGCCTTATTGACCAGTGGCACAGGCAGGCTCCTGTCCGTGCTCTTGTTGATATTCCGGACGTGTTGGTGCTGCAGTTGGCACGATATCGCGCAGGGCGCAAACTTCACAATCGCGTCATTATCCCAAGGCCCTTGCGTGTGCCTGTTTTCACGGAGGGTGTCCAAGTGCAATGGTCTCTCTTCAGGCTCACGGCGGTTGTTGAGCACATTGGCGTGTCTCTGGACCGTGGTCACTACCGTTCGCTCCTTAGACTTGACAATCAATGGTGGCACACGGATGACGCTTGCGTTGCAGTGTCGGTTGACTGGACAGTGATGTTTGAGCGTCGAGCTTATCTTTTATGGTGGGTTCCGGCTCAATCTCCTCAGGCTTGACCCTGCTTCCCTTCCATATGCACTTTCCTGCTTTGTTTGAGCTTCTGTTGGGCCAGATGAATCCCGAGAGTATGGAGGTGGAGGGTGCCGAAGAGTGGGCTTTCTTTCGGGCCTACTGGCCAATGGTATGCCTCCCCCGCAGGCCTTTAATCCCTCGCCTCCGGCGTCGGAGCTCAGCACAGCGGCTCCGGATGAAGCTCCCGAGCGTGAGCCCAAGACAGCTCGTACGGAGGAATCCAAAGGGCCCGATGGGCGTGGCACTGGAAGCCAGGGCAGTGGTGATGGAGATGGTAATGGAAGCAATGGGAAGGGTGGCCGTGCGGGCGGAGTCAAGCGACAACAGGGCAATGGCCAGCAGGGCCATGGCAACGGCAATGGAGGTGGGATGGCGTGGAATCGAGGACAAGGTGGCTCGGGCAATGGTGCTCGGGGTTCCGATTGGGGCAATCGCGGTGGCTGGCGCGGTGATGGCCGTAGCGGGCATGGAGGTCATGGAGGCTCGTCTGATCGTGAACTCCGTGATATCTACTACGCTCTTCAGCTGATGCAGCGGCTGATTCTTCGCCATGAGGACTCCATCAACCTGCTGAAACTGGAGTGCAGCTTTGTGATGCACATGCGCTTGAATGTTCCCTCAAGCGTGGTCTCCATGCTGTACGCTGCGGCGAACTCCTGGCGGCAGATCAAGCTTGCAGAGCCGTCCAAGCTGGACAGGCCGATGAGGGCAGCCTTGCTCTACTGCCTCTTTATGGAGCTGAAGACGAGGATTGAGGCGGTCACTGACAAGCCCGAGGATTTGGAGCGCATGGCGAAGCTTGGATGGGTTTCGAAGGGGCCACCAATCACGTGGTGCTTTCTTGCCTGGGATGCAGCCAGCAGCAAGCAGATCGTGGACACCAGCAAGGTTCCCTTATCCCAGGCTGAGGTCCTGGAGCACGTGCAGACGGTGATCAGGCTCTGCCCTCGACATCATGCCGTGGCCAGGTTTCATCCGACGCGTCCCATGGCAGAGGAGATGAAAGGTGACTCTCTGGTCTTCTTGCTCCAGACTGGACAGCACTGTGAAGGCGCTGCCGAGCTGCGTGATTCCCTCACCTTGCTATGCCACAGCTCTGTGATGAATCTGGTGGCCTTGCAGCTCAAGGTTGATCGCTTTGCGCCCTCCAAGTTGGCAAACGAGATTGCCAAATGCTTGCAGCAATATTAGCTGCTGTTGGGCGCACAGCCGGCGCCTGGGGACATGATTGGGCCTACGATTCATGTCACGTTTTGGAAGGCAATAGCCCTTCAGTATGCTGACTGCCGTTATGCGTTTGCCTGCTTGGCGGCTCGCCGCGGGGCACTACACGTTGGTGGTGGGCATTTCGTTCGCGTTTGACCTGCCTTGGAGCTACAGGAGATCTTTTGCCTCGGTGCTTTCTGCCCCAGCAAAAAAGGACTTCTTCTGATGCCTCTTCTTACTGGTCGAGCAGTAGATGTGCAGTCTTGAGATGCCAAGGTGGGTGGATCCAGGCCGGAACATGGTCTCCCTCGACGTTTCCAATCACAATGTGGGGTCCTCGCGTTTGGAGCGTGCTTTGTCGGCTTGTTCAAGTTGATGCTTCAGCAGTTGATTGTTCTGTTGCTGCTGCTCGAGCTTTTCTTGGTTTATGGCAGTGCTCACCTGGCCCATGCCGTTGGAGTGTCCATCATGAGTGGCTTCGTCTTCCCACAACGTCTTTGTCGCCGCTCCCAGCTTGAGGGAGTTGGCCACTCAACCGTGATCGTGCTCTCTGACGAGTCTGACGTTGAGATGGGAGAGGCTGCAGTTGATAGTGGTTCGGATCCATCTGGCTTTGTGCATGTGCCACAGTGTGTAGCTGGAGCGCCGCAGCATACTGGAGCCCTCAACCGGCACCTTGAACAACCTGTCTCGGTTTATGCTGATAGCGATGCGGTCTTTCGGTCATGTCTTCTGCTGCAGCAATACTTGCTGGAGCCGATTCCTCGACCTGGAGGTGTTCAGGCCAATGGTCATCCGGCTGAGGCCGTGGCCCTCAAATGCTTGCAGCAAGGTGTGGCCCAGTGGTCCTCGCTCATGCAGATTGCTAGGCTTCTACCGCAGGCCAGAAATCCTCGCTTTGCGGATGCTTCCACTTGTGGTCAGTCGTCTTCGTTGTCCTTCACTACAGGCGCCAGTGCGCGTGGCCCTAATGTGAGCTTGACACAGAACATGCGGCTCTTTCCGGGCGTTTCCCGCTTGCTCGCGCTCATCATTCAGGCCATTGACCCGGCGCATCGATTCAGCTCTTGCACTTTGGCTTTGAACACGTGCGCGCGGCCTCACAGGGATGGCCACAATTCCAGGCAAAGCTTCAACCTGCTGATACCATGTTCGGAGTTTGAAGGCGGTGGCATCTGGTTGCAGGACAGCTCAGGTAGCATCAGGCTCGATTCACAAGGCCCTCCGGGCTGCGTTATGGATGTATCCACGCCGATACGATTTCGGCCGCAAACTTTGCATGCCACAATGCCGTGGACGGGAGATCGATTGATGCTGATTGCCTTTCATGTCAGATATACGAGTCTCTTGCCGGTTGAGGCTTTAGATGAGCTGGCAGATTTTGGGTTCCACGTGGATCCGGGTCTTGACTAGGATGTGTTTTGCTGATTCGACGCCGAGGGGTACCGGCTGCCAAAAATTTCGCTTTTCTGGAGTGCTCGACATGCGGTGCCAACGCATTCATCGATTACATGATTGTGGCCGCTGAGGTCTTCTGAGATGATGTCTGAAGCCCACTTCGCTCCTTTTTAGCTCGAGTTGTTAACGACTGCTGTAAAGCTTTAGCGCAGAGGCTGCAGGAACTTAGGTTCGAGCCGTCGGCATGCTTGGCCCTCAGGGGCGGTGTCGCTGCGCTTTCTCTTTTTAGTTCTGGGAGTGTCTTAGACATTGCTGCCCACGGGTAGCCGGGCAAAACGCCTGCCCTAGGCCTCGCTAGGCGGACTTGGACGTCTGTCGCGCTCGAGAGAGAGAGGAGTAGTAGTAGTAGTAGTAGTAGTAGTAGTAGTAGTAGTAGTAGTAGTAGTGGTAGTGGTAGTGGTAGTGGTAGTGGTAGTAGGAGTAGTAGCAGTAGTAGTAGTAGTGGTAGTAGTAGTAGC